GATGTATAGCATATCTAAGATCTTTTTAACAAGAAGTGGCATAATGTTCATGGTCTGGTGTTAAGGCTGGGATCAAAGAAGATCTGGGTCTATGTGAAAGGCCACATCGCTGAAATTCAGCGAGGAGTCTCACCATCAATACAAGTAAGACTGGGTAGATACCAAAGAAATGTACAGCTTGGGAAATGAGAAAAGGATCCAGTAAATTTCCTGCAGAAAAAGGTAGATAAGCAGCTGTCAGAGGAGAGCCTTTATAGAATGAGTTGGCATTTTTAGTTTCTTTCCAATTCTGCAGCTGTTTATACCACGAAGCACGGATGGTGACCATGTACCCAGGCTGGTGGTTTCATTAAGAAACAAAGTTGTAGATGTGTGCAAAAAGCAATAGCTTTGTGATTCCCCAGGGAGGTCTCTAAGCGCTACGTTTAATATCAATATTATGGAAGGGCAGAATGGGAAATTTTTCATTTCCCTTACAAGATCTGTGGAGCGCTTATTTCCCTTTGATAGCTTTTAGAATATGTGGATGCTCTAAACAGCAAGAAGGAATTACTTTCTAATGGATAAGAGTCTAATCTAATCTCAACTGAAGTCAATCAGAATGACTCCCGAATCAGGCTCTAAATATCCTAGCCTTTCACTTCCTCATATAATTATCACTTTTTACACTATAATTATGATATCTTCTATAGTGTGCTCAATGCTATATAAAACCACAGGAAAATAGTTTGTCGATCAGTTCAAAACTGAAGTGTGTAACAAACTACCTATGGAAAGATCACTGAGATTAAGATAGCGTGCGCATCACAAACAATGATAAAAAATATTGTGAGACTATTATTTGCTAAGAAAGTACTATTATTTTAATATAGCCTCATCTTCCATTAGAATTCTTGACTAAGGTTTATCTGGTTGACCTGATTTTTCATCTATACAAACTGCATTGGTGTGGGGGGTGTCAGAGTAGGACAGAGACCTGGCTACAGACTGGTTTTGTCTTTCTCCCACATTCTCATGTGGGTCTTGCAAGAAGGTAGGCCTAACTTGAAAACGGTGGTCTCAGTTTCTCTGTCCCCCAAGCACTCAATCTGACGCATGATTTAAGTCACCAGAGTCTTCCTAGTCTTCTGTGAAAGGAGCCAGCAGAGAGAGCTGAGGCTTGTGCCATCAGGCTGTTCGTGAAGTGAGCCCATGCTGCAATTTGGATAACGCTCTTCTTTAACATAATATCCCAACTCCCAGAGCTGATGGTAGCAAATAATTTTTAGCCTCTATCTATAGCAGAATTAACCATTCTGCTCTGACTTAAGACCTTGCTTTTTGTAGTAAGAACCATGTAATACTAAACATAACCCTTCCTGAACAATGGAGATGAGATCTTCACGTTGCATGTGGGACCAAGGTGCAGGGAGAACGCAGAAGAGTTTTGGAGGTATGTCCTATTAGTCTGTAGCATCTGTACATCTGTAACAGCCCTAAATGAACAAACTTACTAAAGAAACAGCACGGGGGAGAATGGCGGGTCCGGGAGTGGAGGGGCTGGAAAGACAGACAGTAGAAAAGTAGCTGTAGTTTGATTCATGGATAAAGAGTGGTGAAGCAGCTAGAAGGATAAGTCTTATGCTCTGACTGGACAATGCCTAAGAGTTTAGCTTTGGTTATAAGCAAAAAAATATAACTAGTGGTTAAAAGGAATGAGTGGGCTAGGAGCTTTGCATCTAATAATATAGTTCAGACAAAATTCTGTCCCTGAGTAAGGCTGAGGAATCTGTTGTCTGGGGATACGGAAGTACAAGCAGCTGTACTTGGTACAGGCTGTAGATATAGTAGGGAAGAAAGCAGGAGGGTGAGGAGGAGAGATCACGTCTCCATTTCTTTGCTTTGCACTTTCTGCTTTGACGAAAATTTGGGGGCTGAGGTATATGTGGCGTTTAGTAGATAAAGCATGTAGAAAAATTACAGCCTGTACAGGAACATAGAGTAATGTATCTGTTCTTAAATTGTAGGACAGCACTGAGCAGCCTGCATACTGTGATTAGTCAAATTCATTGCTTCTGACTTAAAATCTTTTTGGCTGCCTCAATTGTTTCTTTCATCTCAGCATACAAGACGGAGACTAGGAGACTAGAAGCCTCATCAGTACTAACAAAGCTTCCTTCTACTCTGCTTTGCAATTGTATTTGCCTGTATTCTTGATGTTCAGAGACTCACATAAAGCAGATCTCTTCACAACATAAATACTTTAAAACGATGCTCTCAAGGCTGCTTGGGATAAATTTGACCTATTTTTTCCTCTTTAACTGTTTACGAAATGCATATAATTCTCTGTATTTTCTTCCATGCTCAAACAAGTAGTTCAGTATTATTTTAGGGGCCTAACCCTGATGAACACCCAGATGATAACACTGTGCATGAGTACCTCAGACTTTATTATAGAGAAGAAAATCTGTCAGTAAGTCAACAGGTTTTCATTTCGTGTTTTCTGTAGGAGATTAATCTGTTCAGTAAGGTCTCTGGCCAGCAAGTGTGCAATTCCCCTTTTAACCTGTGGAAGGTACTAAACCTCTTCCAGCACTGGGACTTAGCCACGAATTACCTTTCCACAGCAGCCGTGTTCCAGGAGTAGCCCCTCCTGAACTTACATGGAAATGGTCTTGCAGCAACTTCATGCAGCAACTCTGGGACCTGTGAACTCTGAGAAACCACTGCCATTTTCATTTAATCAAGAAAAAACTTCAGGCAATCCTTCTTCACTGAAAGGCCAATTTTAAGGGGCCTTCCCTATAGGAAAAGCCATTTGTCCCACAACTTTCATCCTGCACCATGCAGATGTCTCTCAAAAAGAGAGACCTGATTAACTCCTTTTCGCACAAACTGTCACTAAATGAAGTGATGCGTGCTTGCTGGGATGAAATACAGGATAATTGGGGCTTTCAGTTAATAGAAATGTTGCTATTAGCCATTCAATATGGGCTCAATTCCATAATTTCAGCCTAATATTGACTTAGGACTTAAAGACCTTTTTCATTACTGCATAATTACATGTGCAGTAGAAGTGAAAAAATGCTCATGTATACGGTAAAATATAGTTACTGATATATTTCAAATTCCCATATGAGTCCCAGTTATTAGAAGGGTAACAGCTGCTTTTGTATCTTTTTTTTTCTCAAAGAAAAAGGCTATTAATACATAACACTTTTTATTAGAACTATTGGCCTCCACACCTTGTCTTTGTTATACTTTAAAACTCTTTGTTACGGAAAAATAATAGCCATAAATGAAAATATATTAAATTTTATAGTAATAACCATATTGGAAGTATTTGTCCTAAATAAGAATTTAGGATAGGGTACGTAACTTACATAATCATTACACATTAAGAAAACATACAAAATAAAGTCGGATAGGGTGGATGTGATAAATAAGCACGGTAATTAGCCTCTTCCACTCAAATCCAAGATGCTAATCTTGATTTTTGTGATATTTTATTACATTTTATTCACTAATCTTATTCAAATACATAGGCATGGTGGTGATTGTCCTCCCACAGGAGCACAGGAACACATGGCATACAGAACATATCACTGCCTACTGTAGATTTTTATCAGTGCCAGCTTTGCTCCACGGAAGGGCAACACAAGGCATGTAATACAGCTTTTCCATACTGGATAGATCCTGCACTGTAAAAGCCAGCAGTAGTCCACAATATCACTTTTGTGTGTCCTTACTGTATTTAATGAAAAAATGTGGGTTGAACAACAGTGACATAAATAGTTATGTAGATTTTACTTATATGAAATAAACCAGTGTCACCTGGGAGTGAGCTTTATATCACATACGACCCTGAAATAAAATATAGTAAATAAATTATGTTATAGAAAGCTCAACAGCTTCAAGTTGAAGTCTCCATGGGGAAGCAGCTGTTCAGTTGATTGGTCACCTTAAAGAAAATCCTAAATGAAAGAATTATGCATTAACATCCTCAAGCAGTAGTTGTCTGTAAATGGAAATGCTAGCATGGAAAGTCTGATTAACTTCCCCGAGTTTAAAGGCAAGGTAATTTAAAACAATATAAAATGTAAATTTCCAAACTAGTATGAAAAAAGTAGCAAGGAGAAAGGCTACTAATAATTCAGTTTTTTCAACAGACAGTTTTCAGAACAGCAAAACTTAAGTAAATGCAACACATAGTACAAAGAATATTTCTTGTCATATGAAATGCACTAAATCTCAAGATAATAAAACGCTTTTACAATTTCATCTCACATCCCATCTGCAGACATCCATAGGCTTTCAATTCCTTCATGTGCAAAGAACGATGTTCCTGGTTTTTCTGCTTCTGCACCATATTTATTGTGCACTGGCTTTTATCAAAATACTTAAAATAAGGGAAAATGAGGCTGCATTTTCAAAACACTGCAACCACTGGTTTGGTTTTGCAGATGACATATCCATGCATGTAATCGGTACATGGAGTCATAACTGCATTTCAAAACTCAATTGCTTTGCAGAGCAAAATTTTTTGTGCCCACAAAAAGTTAAAAAACCTCACCAATCTTCACCTCCCATTATACCAAAAAATACCAATATGTAATCTGGGAGCAAATGATTGGCCACATAAGAATTCTGAGAATCAGCAACATAGCTCAGGCATTATTTCAGCCACATATGTAGCTCTGCACAGCTTTGAGGCTAGTAGAATAAGAATATTCCCTTCTGAGACATTCTATTTGAGGAAAAATGAACTATTCAGGCCTCTGTGTATGTAGCACCTGCTACCAAACCCAGGATCACCAACCTTTTCTATTCTCATATCCAGTTGTATCACAGTATTGAAACAGTTTTTTTTAATCTTTGTCACAAAAGCATCATGCAAGTGCGACATTCAATTGTCCCATACAATCAAAAGAGTTGTGTGGTAAATAAAAATCAAGAAAAGAGGAAAACGACCCCCTCCTACAAGAGCATCTACAAAATATGGCATATATTTCAATACTCACGGCTATCGTAGCATATATTGCCCAGGGCACGTCCTGTTTGAAGCAATATTTCCTGGTCTTTGCAGTTTAACAGCTGCACCAAAGGAGGGATCAACCCAGCATCCACACATGGGTTCCGCATAAATTCTGCAAATAATGCAAAGCCTGTTAAAGCAAGCCGTCTATTTTCAGTTTCGGCCATTCTAGTTACATTGGCATTGCAACTGGGGCTTTTGTGAAAATAAACATATGCATAGACAAACAATGTTAAGTTCTCATGCAAGTTTCTAGAGAATAAACCCAAGTGAGGATTTGGGCTTATGTTCTTTCCATTAGTTGTTAATTTAGAAAGACTTAAGAGCGCTTAATTGACTTCCATGGAAACTAATTTAACATAGCTTAGACTGAGCAAGTTTTTAGCATCATAAAGAAGTGCTGAAAAGAACAGTGAATCCACAACCTTTTTTTCCTCCCCAACAAATTCAACATAAATTAAAATTACTAAATAACACAATTTTTGGTGTTTAACACAGCACTTTTTACTCTCTATTCCCTTAATTAGAACTGCTGAAAAGCTTTTGCTTTAAAATAAAAAAAAATTAAAAAGGAATTAAAGCTAAGTAATAGGCTCTTTATTTGGAAGGAAAGGAAAAGAAAAAGAAAGAATGAGAAATACAAGGGAGATTATATGAGCCCAAAGGCCTGTACCTTTCCACAGTCTATCTGATTCCCACCATGGGAGGAAAGCTAGAGGACCCATCCACTGGGAAGCTCTCTGCCCTCTGTCTTTCCTTCCTGCTATGTCCCCCAGTCACAGAGAACCAAAGTATTCACATCCATGCAAGTCATAGATAGAGAATTATCCTGGTGTCAGAAAGATAAAGGACTGGTCTCCAGAAGGAGCTATAGCTAGGCAGGCACTGCTGCTGCACATTTGAGAAGGGCAATTTACAGAAGCAACCACCTGATACACCAACAGTGTTACTTAATAGTTTACTACAGAGCACCCTTCAGAGATGTAGCAGTGTAATAGGCAAAAGGTCAATACGTTTTTGATTTGCTGTGAATTGCAAATTATGTCTCTTCCTGATCCTAGACTATGTTGGATCTTCCAAAACCAGTTTAGCTTTGTGTTATTAGTCATTTGTGAGACAGTATGAACCAGGGTGTACAATCCCCATAAAAAGAGATGAGATTTCTGATTCTCGATCAACAGAACCCCTCACGCCAGTAACTCAAAGATTCCATACAATGCTTGAAGTACAAATACATATTCTTAAATACTCCCTTTGTTGCACCTATTACAATGTTCTTTGATGTTTCTGTAACTACAAAATCTTGTATGTTTTGTAGTTAAGCTTGCAGTGTTGTTTTAGCTAAAGAAATAATTGTCATAGAGGTAAGCAATCCTCACGCGATGATAAACTTTGATATATCAATAAGTAGGTGAAGTAGAATCATGAATATCTATACACTTGCACAGGTCCAACAGAAGATAGCAGTCAGCACAACTGACCCACCTTCCTAAGAGACTTCTAGTTTTAAAACTAGACAGATGTTATACTGTGATAAATGGTGATGGTACCCATAGTAATGAACAGAACAAGTATCAGACATCTAAAATTGGTCTTGCCATGTCCTTGTAACTTTTTATCTATTTCTTTATCACCCACTTTCATCTTAATTTCAATGTTTATTTACTAATATATTATGTTCCTCCCTCTGTCCTCTCAACGTCTTTCTCTCTTAATTGTTTATAAAAACCTCTTCTCTGTTCCTCAGCTTCTCCCTGCATCACTTTCTTTTACACTCACTAATTTACCATAGTCTCTACATCATCAAAGTCAGATTTTTTTTCTTCTCCTAGTCTGTGCAGAAGATGGAATTTGTTCTCTCCTAAAAGATTGAGAGGTCTCAGTCTCTTCTGTTGTATGTTTAGGTTCTTGGTCATATGGTGAAAAGGAGTAAGAAACACTTCCTCTACCCTCCCTCCATTTGGAGTGAGCAGAAGCTTTCAGTTTCCCATTCAGCAACAAAATAATTAGGCAATATGCTAAGCAAACTTGTATTTATCAAGATCATGTAAGGGCAAGAAGTAAAAGAAATGGTGCAATATATAGCAAAATAGATCTCTGAGACAGCAACAAAAATGTGGTAACTGCAATTATATTTGCAGATGATGCTACATAGAAGTAATAGAAGAAAGAGAAGGTAATCAAGAACAGTTATTTAGAAGGTTTCCAGTAACCTGCTGAGGAGATGAAGCAGATCCTTTGAAGGAAACAGTGAAGAATCACTTAAGAAGTTAGAAGCATTGAGGACAGAGTAACAAACCAAAGGAGGGCAAGATTTTGAAGTAGAAGGAGGACAAGATTTTGAAAGAGAAATGTAATTATGTTGTAGTATTATAGACTGTGAAGACGATGTTCTCATTCCTACACATGGCAAAGAAGAGGACACTAAAGACCTCGGAAGAGGGTTTAAAACTCCACATAGCAAATGCATCTGAGCCTTCAGTATGCTCACAGTGGAAAGGGAAAGGGCTGCAGCTGGAGAGACAAGAGTGACTAAAGGGAGTTTTGTGTGTTTGGATATGTAAAATGGGAGAGACTAACACGAGCTCGTGTTGGGAGGAGGAAGAGTCGTCTCAGCTGGAAAGGTGAAACAGAGCAAGAGCACAAAGAGGTGAAAAGAAGGAGATGAAACATGACAAAACCACTGAGGCAAGTAGAGGGATTTGATGTGACCAGATGTGTATGTGGGTGTGTAGGACCAGATGAGGGGAATGGGAAAGGAAACCAAGAAGTGGGGAAGAAAAAGATGCTCTTTTATCAGTAAAGCCCAGATTCAGACAGAGGCACTACTCCCAGCTCTGCCAGTCATGCTGCATGGCATGACCATTGGGAAATCAGTTCAATTGCCTGGGTTTAATGCCTACTATCTGTAGGATTTGATAACACAAATTTTTCAAAGTGCCCTGAAGCTTGTTGAAAAAAGGTGCAATATAAGCATGAAACACTTGTATTCTTAACAATTATAACTATTAACAACAGAATTCAAATGAGGTGTTCCCTGCTATCCTGCTTAAGCAACTATTTCAACAGAGTTAGAATTCAAAGAGAAACACCCAGCTCATCTCAGTCTTGAAAGCACTGGGCTCCTTCTGAATACTTTCACTTTAACCTTGGCTGCCAGAGGTCCCAGTTATACCTGCTAATAACTCTAAGAAAAGGACAAAAGCTATTTTGTATGATGAAACTCTTCTGAAGAGTGTACTCATAATGGCAATTTAAAAGCTGGCAGGGAAAAGGACACATTAGAAACTATTCAGACATTTCATGTATTAATCCAGATTTGAAAGATAATGGCTAAATGCTCTGCAAGATAATCTTGCAGGAAACAATGCATAGTAAGCAGTTAAGCTTATTGTGAACATTGTTTTTATTCTTAGCTTTCCCCCTTCTGAAGTAGGACCTAAAAGGACTAATTGTGAAGATACACAGTTGACTGCAATATTCTAAATGTACTTACTATGAATTTATTAAGTACAGAAAAAGCATGTGATACGGTTGCATGAATCTCTATCACGCTGAAACATTTCTATGTTTACATCTTTTACTGGCTATTTATCTAAATAATTTTAAAACTTAGACTAACAAAGTATATGTTCTTTTCTTGTTAATGTTGTTTCTGAATATCCATATATAAAATTGTCTCAAAATCAGTGAGTTGGGTGGAGGAGGTCACACAGGGGCTATCGGTAACAAGCTGTAGTATTGTGATTCCAAAGAAAAGGTTAAAAGGGAATGCAGAAATAGTCAACAATAATGTAGCGCCCTTTTTCTGAAGAGGCATCAGTATGAGAGTTTACAGAGGGAAAG